CCCTCGTGCAGCGGCTGGTGACTCCACTGCACCTGCTGGTGGCGGCGACCCCCGAGCTCGTCAGTCGCCTCCTGTACTGCCGGCCCCGCTAGGTGGAGCAGCGGCGTGGTACCAGGCTCAGCGTCAGCAGCACCTTCAGCAGCAGCAGCAGCCCCTTTCCTCCCAGCAGCCTCAGCAGCAGCAGCGTCAGCAGCTGGCTCCGGGGTCGGGGCTGCGTCAGCCCCAGCGCGGTGCGGCTTACCCTCCCTGCCCCTACCAGGTTCAGACAGGTCCTCGACGGGGCCACCCTTGTGGCCGCTTTCACCCCCCTGGTCAGTGCTTTGCTCAGCTCACTGACACGGTCCGGTTGACCTACGGGGTTGGCGGTCCTGCCCCTGACTAGCTTCCTCTGGTTCAGCGCTACGGCTCCGCTCTGTGGGGCATGTCTGCTGAGCAGTTAGTTGATCTGATTAGTGCTCCTCATGCTATGTATGCTGTTGTTGACTCTAGTGTTTCTGACTCTGTTTACTCTGGTGTTGTTAGCTTAGGTGCTAGTCTTGCTCAGTTGCCTGTTGCTAGTGTAGGCACTTGTGTAGACTCTAGACCAGCGACTACCTCAGACGACGCTTCGCTGTCGTTCACACTGGACTCTGGAGCCTCCCACTGCTTCTTCCGGGACAGCATGACACTTACACCACTTCCTGCGCCTGTTTCTGTAGCGTTGGCTGATCCCACTACGGGACCAGTCACTGCACGTCACACTACCACTTTACCGTGTCCTGCTGCTCCCTCCGGGTCTCTCACTGGGTTTCACGTCCCCTCGTTCTCCCGGAACTTGGTGGGCGTGCGACCCCTCGTGAGTCAGCACGTGGGTGTGTGGTTTGAGCCTTCTGGAGAGACTGCGGTGTGTGTTGACGGAGACTCTTACCAGCCTCTTGCTACCTTTACTGCTGAGCCGGGCTCGGGTCTCTACACTCTTCACACTGGCCCGCGTGCGCCGCAGCAGCAGCCGCAGCAGCAGCAGCAGCCGCAGCCGCAGTAGCAGCAGCAGCAGCAGCAGCACCAGCGGCCGCACCAGCAGCCGCCCCTACTGCCACTGCCCCCGGTTCCCCCCCCCCGTTCGGGTCCCCGCGTCTCACCATGTTGCTTCGTCCCCCCAGGTGTCTGTGTCGTGTCAGGTTCCTACGTCTGTTCCAGTCGCTGCGTCGTGCTCCTGCCGGTCGCTTGCCCACCCCACCGTTCTGTGGCACCACCGGATGGGGCACCCGTCCCTTCCTCGTCTGCGCGCTATGTCTAGTCAGCGTCTTGTCCTAGGCCTCCCACGTGTCTTGCCGTCGCTGCCGCCTTCGCTTGCGCCGCCGTGTCGTCCCTGCGTCGAGGGTAGGCTGCGCGCCACCCCTCACTCCTCCCCCCTTCGTCCGGCCACCGAGCCTTTTGAGACGCTTCACTTGGACGTCTGGGGCCCTGCCCCTCGTCTAGGCCCTGAGCGTGAGCGTTACTTTCTGGTGGTCGTTGACGACTTCTCCCGCTACACCACAGTGTTCCCTCTGGCGAAGAAGTTTGAGGTGACTTCTACGCTGATCAGGTGGTTGCTCACCACCGAGGACACTCGTGGTCGTCGTGTCAGCTGTCTCCACTCCGACCGTGGGGGTGAGTTTCGCTCCGGCATTCTCGCTGGATTCTGTCGCGAGCAGGGCATTCGTCAGTCCTGGACGCTTCCAGAGTCCCCACAGCAGAATGGGGTTGCTAAGCGCCGCATAGGCCTGGTCATGGAGATCGCCCGCACCTCCCTGACTCACGCCTGTGCCCCCCATTTTCTGTGGCCCTTCGCGGTCAGGTACGACGCGCACCAGCTGAACCTCTGGCCACGTGTCTCTCGACCAGAGGTTTCACCGACCAGTCTTTGGACAGGGTCCCCTGGTGTTGCGTCGCGGTTTCGTGTCTGGGGGTGCTTGGCTCTTGTCCGCGACACCTCCGCGGACAAGCTCTCGCCTCGTGCCGTCCCCTGTGTCTTCCTTGGTTTCCCTGAGGACTCCTCTGACTTCACCTTTTACCACCCTCCCTCTCACCGGTTCTTTGACTCCCGTGACGTCCGTTTCGAGGAGTCCACTCCGTACTACGTCAGGTACCCCAGTCGAGGTCTCCCGGTTCCTCCTCCCCCCCTCTTCCTGACTGCCGCTCCCCCTCCTGCTCCCCCGGTACAGCCTCCCCCCCCTGGCCCAGCCCCGTCAGGTGTGTCCCACGCTACCCCTCCTCCTTCGGTAGCCCCTCCGGTACAGCCTCCCTCCCCACAGTCCTCCTCGCAGCGTGCCGCTGGTGCTAGCTCCCTCTACGCGTCGCCTTGACTACGCCACCACGCTTGTGGCTGCTCCTCCTACCAGTCCTCTGGCCGTCGGGGGTGTGTCTGCCCTTGGCTTTGACGCCCTAGAGGACAGGCAGTTTGAGCTAGAGTTCCTGGCGGCCGCTTCCCCTCATCTCTGTGCCATGCTCCTCGCCCCTGAGGGTGACCCCGACGCCCTTGACATTCCGACTCCTCGCACTTACACTGAGGCAGTGTCAGGGCCTTGGGCCTCTCAGTGGAGAGCTGCCATGGACGCAGAGATGGCCTCCTACAGATCCACAGGCACCTACGTCGATGAGGTTCCCCCCCCTTGGGCGAACGTAGTCGACGGCATGTGGATCTACAGGGTGAAGCGGCCACCGGGATCTCCCCCGGTCTTCAAGGCGCGCTACGTGGCTAGAGGTTTCAGTCAGCGCGAGGGAGTTGACTTCTTTCAGACCTTCGCACCTACCCCGAAGATGACCACTCTTCGGGTGTTACTACACGTAGCAGCACAGAGAGACTACGAGTTACACTCTCTCGACTTCTCCACTGCTTTCCTTCAGGGCAGCCTACACGAGGAGGTCTGGTTACGTCGTCCCTCGGCCTTCACTGGCACTTTCCCTCCTGGGACCCAGTGGAGGCTGAGGCGACCTGTTTACGGTCTTCGCCAGGCCCCTCGTGAGTGGCACGACACTCTGCGTTCTACCCTCTCTGACCTTGGGTTCCAGCCGTCTTCTGCCGACCCGTCGCTGTTCGTTCGTCGTGGCTCCACACCGTTCTTTGTCCTGGTCTACGTCGACGACCTCGTTTTCGCCACTCCGGACAGGGTTGCTTTGGCAGACGTGAAGTCCGAACTGCAGAAGAGACACACGTGCACTGATCTTGGTGAGCTGTGCCACTACCTTGGCCTGCAGATCACCAGGGACAGAGCCGCTCGCACCATTACACTCTCACAGTCACACATGGTGCAGCAGGTCCTTCAGCGGTTCGGGCTTCAGCACTCCACCGTACAGCGCACACCTCTAGCTGTTGACCACAGACTCACTGGTCCCTTTCCTGACGAGCCGTTTGAGCCTAGTGGTCCCTACGTAGAGCTTGTGGGTTGCCTCATGTACCTGATGACTTGTACTCGCCCGGACCTCGCCTTCCCTCTCAGCATCCTTGCGCGCTTTGTTGCGCCAGGGAGACACCGTCGTGTTCACTGGACGGCAGCTGTGAGGGTGGCGAAGTACCTAGCGACTACATCAGGCGTGGGGCTAGTTCTTGGAGGGCAGCAGTCTGTCGTACTCACTGGTCATTGTGACTCCTCTTACGCTGACGACGCTGAGACTCACAGGTCTACTCAGGGGTACTGTTTCAGTCTGGGTTCTGGAGCTGTTTCCTGGCGTTCCACGCGCTCCTCTTCTGTCTCGACCTCTACAGCTGAGGCTGAGATTTACGCTGGTGCCATGGCGGCACAGGAGTTGCGGTGGTTGACCTTCTTGCTCGCCGACCTTGGTGAGCGGCCGAGCTCTGCACCGACCTTGTTTACTGACAACAAGGCGTCGATCCTCCTCTGTCGTGAGCCGCGACTGGAGAGCAGAGTGAAGCACATTCACGTCAGGTACTTTCTTCTGCGAGAGTTGCAGAGACGTGGACAGGCTCGCTTCGAGTTCGTGGAGTCCGAGGCCAACACTGCAGACATCTTCACCAAGGCGCTTCCGCCTTGTGACCACCAGAGGTGTTGTGTGCAGTTAGGCCTTGTTGACTCAGTTTCTAGTCATGTGTAGACTTGAGTTTATTGCCTGCTTCGTCTGTACACTTGCTATATATACTTGTGATCTCTTGGACGGGCCTTGTGGCCACTGTTGCTTGTGCTCAGAGGGTGTGGTGACGTTGTGATCCACCCTGAGCTTTGTTTTCTTTTGGACTGGTCTTGTGACCGTACTCTTTTTGATTTTGCTAGACACCCCTCACTTAGGCTATGGGGGTGTGTCAAATGTTGTAGCCTGTAGTGAGGTTTGTCTTAGGGGGTACAGAAGTTAGGGTTTGTTATATGTACCCCAACCAACATCAACGGAACCATTCATTCCTCATTCTGACAAAAACACCCACATTGACTAATTAAAAAAACACTAACACTAAAATATGCCATATGTAAAGACCCGGGTATTATGTATTTTTTTCCTATGAGGAGACCCCCCCCATTTTTTCCCTGTATTTTTAGCTATACCCTAGGGTGTTATGTCCGGGAGAATACAGTATATCATTTGTTTTGCAGTTGATGGGAAACCCCTGTTTCCCATTGGTTGACGAGGTTGGAAAAACGAAAAGGGGTGCAACGAGGGATGCGATGCGAAGGGAACAAAATCGTTTGCTGTGTTCCAAACCTTCTAGGTATGGAAACAGGTTCGGAGCCGAAGCTAGAGTGCCAGTGAAATGTCAAGAGTTGTCGAAAGTCCCATGTACCTGAAATTTGTTTTGCAATTGGTGCTGAGGCAAAAGTGGGGGAGTGTCGCACGCCAACTTCCCTAGCCAACCAGTCCGCCTCGTCTAGAAAAACAAGGTAACTCAGTCTCAAATGTTTTGCAGTTGATGGCATAATCTCTTACTTGAGACCCTGGTTTTAACAGCCACGCTTTTGTGGCTGCTGGATAGCTATGGTATGCAATCAAGCTCACACTGAAACGACACTACCGAATTCAGTAAAAGAAAAGGGCTATTCTGCAGCTTTAAACCTCTTCTGTGCATGTTCTTCACTTGCTGCCCTCTCCATGCTTGCACTCCTCTCCGTTCTATAATGCCCTCCCCCAGCCTCCTCTCTCATCCCTCCTGCCGCTCCCCCCTCTCCCCCAACCGCAGCAGCAGCTGTAGCAGCGGCTGCTGGATCTGCCATCCCCGAACCGGCCCCAAGTCCGGCCATCCCTGCTGCCCCACGCATTCCAGGCATGGCAGCCAGGCTCGGGTGCAGCCCTCCTCCCGCCGCTGCAGCTGCCGCCGCGGCCGCTGCTGCAGCAGCATAATTATGAGGGGAAATACCCGAACCAGGGAGGTGCACACCCCCAGCGCGCAGAGCCTCGAGTGAATATGCCCCATGGTGTGCTGCTGCTGCTGAAAGCGCAGCTGCATGGTGGTGAGAGGCATATGACTGGAGAGACTGCAAAGACGCATGAGATTGCGCTGTTCCTGCAGCTCCTCCTGCAGCAGCAGCAGCAGCAGCAGCGGCCGCGGCAGCTGGAGCAGTCCCAGCACTGGTGGCAGGAGCAGAACCAGCCGCTTCCCCAGCCGCAGCAGCAGCGGCAGCAGTGGCCCCAGCGCTTGCTGCCGCAGCGGCCGCCGCTGCAGCTGCTGCCGCCGCTGCAGCCGAGGAGTTATGCGCGTGGTGCTGATAGTAAGCAATCTCAGCAGCAGACGGGCCGTACGGCATCGAACCAGCCGCCGCCGCAGCAGCCGCCGCAGCCGCAGCAGCGGCAGCAGCAGGATCATGCCGATAAGCCATGGGCTGGTGGTGATGATGATACATATACTGTGCCATGTGATTCACCCTTCCTAACATCTCCTCAGCCATTTTCACCTTAGCTCGCAGCGCCTCCACGTCAGATTTTAACACGCGGTTGTCGACGGCGGCGTCGCTGTATTTGCGCCCGATCTCCCCGAGGCGGCTGGCCAGGTTGGCGTTCTCGATCTGCAGCTGAGTCACCTGCGTCTCCATCTCCCCCATGTGCGCCTGCTTTCGCCGCCGCGACCGCCGCGCCGACTCGCGATTGGACAGCATCCTGCCACGTGGACAGAGGCGGGGCCGGAAGGGACACAATGACGTGGCATGCAATACAGGCGAGATAAGCAAATTGACATCCTACATGAATCGATGGGGGGTGGTACACTGATATAATGATGGTCTTCCAGCCTTTGGTATGTATATATGCTAATTTTGATTTCAGATGAGCTCAACTCAACAATATTCTCACTTCTTGACTCGTTTGATCTCTTCGGGATAAGTGAGACGCTCCAGAGATGCCACCAGCTCATGTCGACCTGTGAGACGACTCAAAAGTCACATCTTCTTACCTCTTGACTCGTTTGACCTCTTCAGGATCAGTGAGATGCTCCAGAGATGCCACCAGCTCATCCTCCCCCTCCAACCATTGAGACGACTCAAAAGTCAGTTCTTACCTCTTGACTCGCTTAATCTCTTCTGGATCAGTCAGATGCTCCAACGACGCTACCAGCTCATCCTCCCCTTCCGACCTCCCCCCATCATCAGAATGATTTTCATCCGACCCAATCCCATTCTCCCTCCCGCCTCCCCCATGCGCGCCCGCCCTCGTTCCCCCTCCGCCTCCCCCCCGCCCGCTCGACGCTCCTCCCAAACCCCTCTTCCCCGCACCCTTTCCGCCAGCTCCCCCGCCCGGCTGCCTGCCGGAGATCGGGCTGGCGGCTTCCGCCGCGCCAGGCGGGGCGCACAGGCGGCCCATTTCCTCCGGGGTCGGGTGGAACACGGACGGCGGGGGAGGCGGAGAGAGAGGCGCGCCGTTCGCCGATGCTGGAGTGCCATTTGTCGCCACGCCATTGGCTACGGCTGCGGCTGCGGCACTTGCGGCGGAGGCGCCGGTCATGGCAGCTGCTGCGTCTGCGGTTGGGGCCTGAGGAGCAGCAGGCGGGGGGCGGAAGGCAAAGGGGGGAGCGGGTACGATGGAAGGGGAGGAGTAACGGGGAGGGCGGGGGGAGGAATGGTTTTGGTCTCAATGCGAATTGAGGGAACAGGAGCGGAACGGGGGCGGAAGGAGAAATGAAGGGGGCGTAGGGGAAAAAATGGTCGGAGCGAGGAGGGGGGAGGGGGGTCGGCGGTTGGGGCCTGAGGAGCAGCAGGCGGGGGGAGGGTGCTGGAAAAAGGTCGGAGCGAGGGGCCACAGGTTTAACGGAGACGATCAGTGGCAGGAACGAAACGGGGTAAAGAGGGTGTCGGTAACCGGATCTGCGACATATAAACCCCGAAGATACGGACGGGCACTGTTCCAGGTCTTTCATACCTGCTCTGCTGCGGCTGCCGCTGCCGTTGTCGCTGCTGCTGCCGTTGCCGCTGCCGCATCCGCTGCCGCGCCTAGCGCGCCTGACGCCAATCCCTTGCTAGACGGGGAGCGGAACACTCCGAGCCCGCCGAAACTTCCGCCATCCCCCGCCACGGCATTTGCCCCGCCTCGCCCCGCCTCCGCTTCTTCCCCCGCTGCCCGCCTCGGCGCGGATAACCCCAGCCGCGGATCCCCCCCCGCCAGGTCTAAACGACTATGCCTGCTGCCCCCCATTGCGCCGAGCCCGTCGGCAGCAGCGCCTCCTGCGGCGGCGGCAGCGGCGGCGGCGGAAGCGGAGATCCCTGCGTCAGCTTCTGCCCCCGGCCGGCCGAACATACTTAGGTTAAGCCGAGACGGGCTCTCCCCTAAGAGCTTATCTAGGCTCGGAACGTGGCTAAGACCCGCCATTAGAGGGCTGACTCCACTGAAACCTGTCACTGTCCCCGCTGCAGTCTGCTCCTTTATAAACTCCTGAAACGCCCATTCCGAGGATATCCTGTTCATACGATGGAAAGAGCCTGTGCGTGGGATAGGACGCTGTAGCTCGCTGCTACCCAAACCGCCGGACATTCCGCCGGAATATCCGCCGGGGAAGGCGGACGCTCCTGGAGGGAGAAGCCCGCCAGAGGCGGCAGCGGCGGCGGCGGCAGCGGCGGCAGCGGCGGCGACATCGCCTGACGACTCTACCTTCCAGAATGTTCCTAATATATCGTCGACTGAGAAAACTCTCTCCATTCTAGCAAATAGATTCACGAAACTAGAAGCCTGTTCTACAAAACACTTTATGTAACAGGAGCCTCGACAGCAAGAATGGCCTAGGTTATCAGAAACGAGATACGATCAACATGAAGAAAAGGTAATCACCCTCAATTGCGAACTGTGTAATCTATCACGATCGACACGAAGTAACTTTCTCCTAAGAAAACCAATTCAATATGAGGAAGCGCGATCAGGCAACAATAACGTGGTTTGACGAAACAAGAGTGACCAGAGCGAATGTAACGGACTCTTGGAGCTGGTTTGGATCAGCTCTCCAGGACAACTCCCTCGGGCTCCCCAACTCGTGCAGGCGGGGTTTCTCTGGTTCCGTTTTGACGTTCAAACGGGTGGATCAGATGGGAGATGCTGGTGATGCGATGACTCAGCTGTGGGCCATTGCCAACGTCACCTGAGGCCCTGCCTCCGTGTCCGCTGGCCCAGCCTCTACCAACCACTCCGAGAGAATTTCTCCAGACCCCGAAACGGTGATTTGCCGTTGCACACGTGGCCTCCAATCGCTACCGTGGTCGGACAATTCGATGATAATTGCTCGAGTGGTCTTGCCAGAGGTTTCCTCTGGCATTTTTTTATCCGGCACATTACCCAAAGGTGGTTTTTAGCCCTGAAATTCTTACGTCGAACGTGTCTCTTCCTGCGAAAGTGTGACGCACCCGGAAAGACGTGCACGAGGGCGGCGCCGTCACTGTTCGGATACGCGACAAAATCGGCACGGTAATCCAGGCAAACAGTTGCGCTCAATTTCGGTCCATATCGTAACCAATCCGCGCATAGTTATATGATTCCCCGATCATATACTCAGTTGCACAGATGTCAGTATGCGCGACCAGTTACAGAGTTTGATTGGTCAACTTTATGCGTGGGGCCTTTTCTGACCTTGCGCGTCCAATCAAACGCGGTCATGTAAAATTGCGCTCATATAAAACCGCATATTTACCTATATGAGCGCGCATATGTGATGCTCGAATGTGTGTGTGATCTGTTTTATTAATATAAAACTATATTAATAAATTTTAGAGACGTTATCACTACCAGCGTTTTGCCATTATACCTATATCAAACTGTGGATACCTATATCGCACAACGTGATATAGGTATAATGGCAAAATGTCGGCAGTGATAATGTCTCTCAAATTTATTAATTTAGTTTTAGATTAGTAAAATAGATCATACACACATTCGAGCATCACATATGCGCGCTCATATAGGTAAATATGCGGTTTTATATGAGCGCGATCTTGCATGATCGCGTCTGACTGGACGTGCAAGGTCAGAAAAGGCCTCGCGCATAAAGTCGACCAATCAGGTGCACTCTGTAATTGGTCGCGCGTACTGACATCCGTCCAACTGAATATATGATCGTAGAATCATATAACTATGCGCGGATTGGTTACAATATGGACCGAAATTGAGCGCAACTGTTTGCCTAGATGAGTGTGCTGATTTTTGTCGCGTATCCGAATAGTGACGTTGTCGCCCTCGTGCACGTCTTTCCGGGTACGCCACACTTTCGCAGGAAGAGACACGTTCGACGTAAGAATTTCAGGGCTAAAAACCGGCTTTGGGTAATGTGCCGGATAAAAAAAATGCCAGAGGAAACCTCTGGCAAGACCACTCGAGCAATTATCATCGATTTGTCTGACCACGGTAGCAATTGGAGGCCACGTGTGCAACGGCAAATCACCGTTTCGGGGTCTGGAGAAATTCTCTCAACCACTCCACTGACACTTGACCATAAAACGCTTTTCAGACTGTGTGCACTTTGGAAAAGGAGTGAGCGGGCAGTGCGGATGAAAAAGTTGACGCTGTGTTATATTTCAGCCGTTCGATACGATGCCACAAAATTCGACGGCTTTTATTCATCCATTAATGAGTTTTCCTCTGACCCGCATTCCGAAAGGTTTCGTAGCAAACCCGCACCAGTTGATCGCATCGCCAAGGGAGCCACTTGTGAGAAGCCTGGACAGCAGCAAGTGATTTCCGATCGTTCAAATCGACGGCTGTCTTTCACTCCTAGACTTCTGTGTGGGCTCTAGATGTGCGGGGTGAGCTCCACATTCATCGGCGCCGCGTTCTTAAGCTTGTGATAATTGAACGGACCAGACACTCCTGCAGGAGGGAGGCAAACCCTCGGTGTGTTATGAAGGAATCTTGTCATGGATGACGTGTCCCTACGTGTGCCAGATAAGCCCCTATGTAGTTTTGATGAGTTGGCTGGGTATGGCACGCCACGGTTGTGTGTAATTGTGTAAAGGCGGATTAATTTGTTCGCGCCAATTCTTGTGTAAGGTTTTGACAACCTCTTGTGGATGGAACCGCACTACCGAATCAGTCAATGCCGCATCATGTAGAGTGTACACCGACAGAATGCAACAGTGTACGCTTCTCCTAGCCTTTCGGTGAACGCCGCCCACGGTCTGTCGTCGTGTTAAACGAAGCTTCGAGGCAGTCAAACGTTCACTGAAGCTTCTCAGGCCGAGCCCGTTATGAAACTGGTTTGGAACTTCTGACCATGCTGGGCCTGAGCTCAGCAGCAAATCCAGGCTCGGAGCGAACGACGCGCACTGAAGATCCAACCACGTGTACAAAGCCGAGCCGTCAGCCTGACACGTCTCGCAACGCAATTCGAGTCGACGAGTTTCCTGCGCGTGGTCGGAGTGTGATATGGTCGTCGTGTCGGCAGCTCCATGCGACGAAACGAAAACGAAAGCGGGGAACTAGGGGAAATTTACACGGTTCGGTTCGGGTCGGACGCCAGGGGCGGCAGAAAGAGGTGATGTGATGAGATGGTGTGCCGTGCCCCAGGGCAGGGGGAACTACAGCGGAGACCCTTTCCCCCGTGCCTCTTCCCCCCCTCTCACATCCCGCGTTACCCCCCTCCAGCTGCCTTTCCGTGTTCCCCCGCCAGCCACTCTTCGCCGCAACTCACAGCTCAGCACAGTGCGCAACCTTTCTCAGCACCATCTGTACGCCGCTTCAACCTCGTTTCTCCCGCCCATCCACCCGTTTTGCTTTGCTGCTTCTCGAAATTGCGCCTTCGTCCTTCCTAGGATTTACACCTCAGGACTAGGAGTTCGAATCTGCTCTTACTCCTTTTCCTCTTCTTGCACGCCAGCTCACTACATTTCTAACTTGCGCCAGCGGATGACCAGCCTGCAAGCAAGGCACCAGCGTACTATCACCAGGTAACCGAGAACAAGCTAGCAGAATAACAACGCGTTCAATAATCGAGCGTGTTCTGCAGCGCCATGACTCCCAAAATTCTCCCTTTCTCTCACAAGAGCCGTCCTTCCAGGCAAAAACTTTTCCTTCTCACCCGCTCTCTCGCCCTCGCGACGTTCGTAGCGGCATTCGCGCTGCTCGCCCCGTCAACCGCCGCGCTGAAGCTCGGCCCGTACATCGCGCCGGGCGCCACGGACAACCGCGGCCCGTGCCCAGGGTTCAACACGATGGCGAACCACGGCGTCTTTCCGCGCGACGGCTCCGCCATTCCGCGCAAGCGCATCGTCCAAGCCTTCCGCAAATTCTACTCTTTCTCCCCGACCGTGACAAAGGCGCTAATTAACGGCGCTTTCTCCGCCGGCGTGGGGGATCGCAAGGCGGGGACAATCGACCTCGTCCAGCTTCGCGCGCACAACAAGCTCGAGCACGACGTGTCGCTCGTAAGCGACGATTATTACCTCGGTAACAACTACCTCGTTAACAAGACGCTCTTCAACCAAATGCTTGATTTTTCATCGACAAAAAAATATATCACTCTTCGCGAGATCGGTCGCTTCCGCAAGCACCGCTTTTACGGCTCCCATAAGAACAATCCCCAGCTCAGTTACAACACGAAACAAGAAGCCGTGGCATTTTCCGAAGCGGCGGCGCTGGCGGGGGTGTTCGGCGGAAGGCTGCGCTTTTACGCGGTTCCGATTAACTACCTCAAGTCGTTTCTCCGTGATCACCGGTATCCCAAGGGCTTCAAGCCGCCGCTTGTTCCGCTGAGCTTCCCAGAGCTGCTCGCCGTCGCGGCGCGCATCAAGGTCGCCGCGTTTTTTGCTTGAGGAACGAGAAAGCGCTGTGCTGCGATGGCTTCTAGCGCGGATACGAAGCAGGCGCTATTCTGCTCTCGCATCTCACCCTGCGACCCTCTTAATCGGTGGCCATGGCGGACTGAGAGGAATGATTTGCTGGGTGTGATTTTTTCTAGTACTACCTAAGCAAAACCAGCGTCTTGCGTTGTTGCCCGAACTTCGTATCTTGGTAGTTTTGGCAACAGCGTTTGGCCCTTTATGTACCCCATCAGTAGTATTTAAGAATATATACCATTGTGAACACATTCTCCCTTAGTTGTGCACACGTTTATCATGTGTGCCTGTGCTCATGTCTTATTTTTATGTGTGCCTGTGCTCATGTCTTATTTTTATGTGTGCCTGTGCTCGTGTCTTATTTTTATGTGTGCCTGTGCTCATGTCTTATTTTTATGTGTGCTTGTGCTCATGTCTTATTTTTGTTGGAAATAAGAAGTCGCTAGAGCGCAACGGAAGCTCTAGGAATTAACGACGTCCCTACAGCGGGGCTATTGGTCACTCAGAGGTAGCTCTCCTGGCTTGCAACGTGGTGCCAAAGCAGCGGCCGAGGGTAGG